TTCATCTGTGGTGTGCACTGGGTTCTGGTGGTGAGAGTTTTCATCTGTGCTGTGCACTGGGTGCTGATGGTGAGAGTGTTCATCTGTGGTGTGCAGTGTGGTGGTGGTGAGAGTTTTCATCTGTGGTGTGCAGTGGGTGTTGGTGGTGAGAGTTTTCATCTGTGGTGTGCAGTGGGTGTTGGTGGTGAGAGTTTTCATCTGTGGTGTGCACTGGGTGTTGGTGGTGAGAGTTTTCATCTGTGGTGTGCAGTGTGGTGGTGGTGAGAGTTTTCATCTGTGCTGTGCACTGGGTGCTGGTGGTGAGAGTTTTCATCTGTGGTGTGCACTGGGTTCTGGTGGTGAGAGTTTTCATCTGTGCTGTGCACTGGGTGCTGGTGGTGAGAGTTTTCATCTGTGGTGTGCAGTGTGGTGGTGGTGAGAGTTTTCATCTGTGGTGTGCACTGAGTGTTGGTGGTGAGAGTTTTCATCTGTGGTGTGCACTGGGTTCTGGTGGTGAGAGTTTTCATCTGTGCTGTGCACTGGGTGCTGGTGGTGAGAGTGTTCATCTGTGGTGTGCAGTGTGGTGGTGGTGAGAGTTTTCATCTGTGGTGTGCAGTGGGTGTTGGTGGTGAGAGTTTTCATCTGTGGTGTGCAGTGGGTGTTGGTGGTGAGAGTTTTCATCTGTGGTGTGCACTGGGTGTTGGTGGTGAGAGTTTTCATCTGTGGTGTGCAGTGTGGTGGTGGTGAGAGTTTTCATCTGTGCTGTGCACTGGGTGCTGGTGGTAAGAGTTTTCATCTGTGGTGTGCACTGGGTTCTGGTGGTGAGAGTTTTCATCTGTGGTGTGCAGTGTGGTGGTGGTGAGAGTTTTCATCTGTGGTGTGCAGTGTGGTGGTGGTGAGAGTTTTCATCTGTGGTGTGCACTGGGTGCTGGTGGTGAGAGTGTTCATCTGTAGTGTGCAGTGTGTTGTCGGTGGTGAGAGTTTTCATCTGTGGTGTGCAGTGTGGTGTCGGTGGTGAGAGTGTTCATCTGTAGTGTGCAGTGTGGTGGTGGTGAGAGTTTTCATCTGTGGTGTGCAGTGTGGTGTCGGTGGTGAGAGTTTTCATCTGTGGTGTGCAGTGTGGTGTTGGTGGTGAGAGTGTTCATCTGTAGTGTGCAGTGTGGTGTCGGTGGTGAGAGTTTTCATCTGTGGTGTGCAGTGTGGTGTCGGTGGTGAGAGTTTTCATCTGTGGTGTGCAGTGTGGTGTCGGTGGTAAGAGTTTTCATCTGTGGTGTGCAGTGTGGTGTCGGTGGTGAGAGTGTTCATCTGTAGTGTGCAGTGTGGTGTCGGTGGTGAGAGTTTTCATCTGTGGTGTGCAGTGTGGTGTCGGTGGTGAGAGTGTTCATCTGTGGTGTGCAGTGTGGTGTCGGTGGTGAGAGTTTTCATCTGTGGTGTGCAGTGTGGTGTCGGTGGTGAGAGTTTTCATCTGTGGTGTGCAGTGTGGTGTCGGTGGTGAGAGTTTTCATCTGTGGTGTGCAGTGTGGTGTCGGTGGTGGTGAGAGTTTTCGTCTGTGCTGTGCAGTGGGGTGCTGGTGGTGAGTTTTCATCTGCATGTTTCTTGCCATGTGCTTATCGGCTGTTTGTCTGACTTCTTTTGTGTAGTGTCTATTTGCATTCATTGTTCGTTTATATTGGGTGTTCTTACTATGTTATGAGCTCACTCGTTTGGAATACCAGGATTTCGTCAGGTATCTGTACTGTGAATATTTTCTCTTACATTGTGGCTAGTCTTCTAATTTTTTAAGCTGTGTTATTTGAAGGCCAAACTTTTACTGTTCAATGGGAGATTTTTCTTTTGTGGTTTTTGCTTTTTGTACATCGATGAATAAATCTTTCCCTACTGCAAGATTGCAAAGAATTTTCTTCCTATTTTATTTTGACAAGTCCTGTACTCTAGCTTGTACATGTAGGTTCATGATCCCTGTTGAATTAGTATTTATTGTTTGTCAGCTTTGAGTTGAGGTTCAATAGATACCCAAATGTTGAAGCACCACTGATTGAAAAGACTGTGTTTTCTCCATTGAATTACTTTGGTACTTCTGTCTAAAATCAGTTGACTTCGTGTTCATGTGGAATACTGATTTGTTTCTGTGGATCTGTACGTCTCTGCTCATGCTGATACCACACTGTCCTGCAGTGAGCTGGGAAGAGTTCCTCCTCTTCTGTCTTCTGAAACAGTTCGTGTAGAATTGGCGGTACTCTTCCTACAGATATGTGGTCGAGTTCACCAGTTATGCTATCTGAGCTTGGAGTTTTGTTGTGGGAAGATTTTCAGCTACAAATTCTCTTCCTTTAATGCTGCCATGCCATCCATGCTGTCTGTTTCTTCTCAGGTGAGCTTTGATTGTTTTGTATTTTTCAAGGAACTCATCCTCTAAGTTGTGAAATTAATTAGCATGAAGCTACTCATAATATTCCCTTAATATCTTTTCAGTGTCTGTGGGACCCATGGTGATGTCTCCTCCTTTATTTCTAATGTTGCTGATTTCTATTCAGTGTTTGTTCTTGATTAGTCTGAATCATTTTATCATCTCAGTATTATTCTAATATAAATCTACTGATTTTATTAATCATTGGAAAGATCCAGATTTTGATATTATTGGATTCTGCTCGCTTTTATTCTTTCTTTCGTTTGCTTACTTTGGGTTAACGTTTTTGCCAGATTATTTACTGAGGTCTTTTTTTTTCCTGTGTATTTATTGGTATACACTTCCCTCTATACATTGCTTTACTGGTATACATTTTAATATCTTGTGTTTTTATTTCATTCAGTTAAGATAGTTCTAATTTCTCTTGTGGTTTCTTCTTTTACTCATGATTATTTAGAAGTATGTTGTTTGACTTCAGTTGATTATGTTCATTCTCAGATACTTTGTTTCTGATTTCTATTTCTGCTCTATTCAGATAATATATTTTGTATGATTTCAGCGATTATAAGTATGTGAAGACTTGCTTCATGGCTTAAAATATAGTCTGTCTTAGTGGATGTTCCATGTGCATTTGATAGGAATATGTACTCCTCTGTCGTGTGGGTTAGGCTGGCTGACGGTGGTGCGGGGTTTCTGTGGCCTCTCTGCTCTTCTGTCTGCTTGCTCTGCTGACCGCGCGCCTGGAATTGTGGATTCGTGTGTTTCCTTCCAGTTCTATCAGGTTTTGCTTCCAGTATTTTCAAGCTGTGATGTTAGGTGCAGACGCATTTAGAATTGTCTTAGTTGACCATTTGTTTTTAAGTGTCCTTCGTTTATTATATTTGTGGTTTTGACGCTAGTGTAGCCATCCCAGCTTTCTCGTGATTGCTGTTTACATGATCTATCTTCCCAATTTTTACTTACAATTTCATCTGATTGTGTATGTGAAGTAGGTTTCTTGCGTATACTGTATGGCATGATCTTGCTTTACTTGTTTTTAAGACATGGTCTCTTGCTCTGTTGCTAAAGTTTAGTGGCGTGATCATGGCTCACTGCAGCCTTCACCTCCCAGGTTCAAGTCGTCTTCCTCCCTCAGCGTTTCAAGTAGCTGAGACTGCAGGCGTGTACCGCCACAGCTGGCTAAGTTTTTTTGTAGAAAGGGGGCTCTTACTGTGTTGCCCAGGCTGATCTTGAAGTACTAGGCTCAAGCGGTCCTCCTGTCTTAGCCTCGGAAAGTGTTGCGATGACAGGCGTGAGCCACCACGCCTGGCCAGAACCTTGCTTTTCCTCTCAGCAGAGAACCTCTGCTTTTTGATGGGAATGGTTAAAGTAGTGCTGTCCAGTAGAATTTCTGGTGATGATGAAAAGGCCCTGCAGTCTACGTTCCATAGTGTGACAGCCATTCGCCACATGGGGCTCCTGGGCACTTGAAATGTGGCTAGTGCAACAGGAACCAAGTTTATCATTGAATTTAATTTTAATTAATTAAAACGTACATTTACATTGCCACAGGGGTTAATGTTCTGTGAGTTTTTAAAAACTGAGGTAGGCCAGGCGCGGTGGCTCAAGCCTGTAATCCCAGCACTTTGGGAGGCCGAGGCGAGTGGATCACGAGGTGAAGAGATCGAGACCATCCTGGTCAACGTGGTGAAACCCGTCTCTACTAAAAATACAAAATTAGCTTGGCATGGTGGCACGCGCCTGTAGTCCCAGCTACTCGGGAGGCTGAGGCAGGAGAATTGCCTGAACCCAGGAGGCGGAGGTAGCGGTGAGCCGAGATTGCGCCATTGCACTCCGGCCTGGGTAACGAGAGCAAAACTCCGTCTCAAAAAAAAAAAAAAAAAACTGAGGTAGAATTTAGTCACTCAGAATTCAGCCTCTTAACCACCTACCTTAAAGCATGCAGTTCAGTGCCAGAGTATTCAGCATTCTGTAATCACCACCACCTTTTAATGCTAAAATGTTTTCATCACCCCCAGAAGGAACCCCGTCCCCATCGGCAGTCACACCCCTCCCCCCTCCCCGCCCCTGCTGTGGCACTGTCCTCAGGTTGGTCTGCTCTGACACTGTAGAGGTATGGAACCTGGCGGCCTGTGGCCTCTCCTTGCTGGCTGTCACCTCCGTGTGCGTTGCGCTCAAGGCTCACCTGCACCGCTCAGGGCTCACCTGCACCGCTCAGGGCTCACCTGCTCCACGCAGGAACCAGTGTTCTGTTTCCTGTGCCGAGCTGCCCGCCGGAGCTAGACCTTGTAGTGTCTGTTGTTGCCTCATCAGCAGGGCTGTGCTTCAACTCTTAGTGATGCCACTCTGAGCCTCTGGCACACGCGCCAGGTGCTGGGGTGTATGGGAGCTCAGGGTGCAGCCTTTCTGAGGGACCACCCCTGCCTTCCAGCTTCAGTGTACTGTGAAGGCAGGTGTCCAGCCTTGACCCCAAGGTGGCCGAGCCGTGAAGGCAGGGAATGGGGCTCAGGGCCACTCTGCTGCCTCTTGGCTCTGCACCCCTGGGGACTGCCCAGAGTGGGCAGCAGAGCTGGGCCTGCATGCTTCACCTCAGCCTGTGTTCTCTCCTTCCAGCCACCCAGGCCGATCCACGAGACCTTCAGGAGCTGTTCCAGGAGACGTCGGCCAACGTCTTCCAAATCAACTTAAGTGGTGAGTCTGCGTCTGGCCCGGGCCTGCACCCTCTGCTTAGGTGCCTGGACCACCAGAGACATTGGAGGCGAGGGTGCTGGTGGACAGCTTCCCCACGCAGGTCCTCATGCAGTGTAGTCCCAGGTTTCTCGGGTGGGAAGGAGCGAGGGCTGAGTCAGGGCTGGGTACCACTCCAGCTGGTTGCCCCTGCCTGCTGCCCCCTGCCTGCTGCCCCCTGCCCCCTGCCCACTACCCCCGCCTGCTGCCTGCTTCCCCCTGCCCACTACCCCCTGCCCACTGCCCCCTGCCTGCTGCCCCGTGCCCACTACCCACTGCCCCCAGCCTGCTGCCCCCTGCCCACTACCCCCTGCCTGCTGCCCCCTGCCCCTGCCCACTACCCCCTACCCACTGCCCCTGCCCACTGCCCGCTGTTCCCTGTCCACTGCCCGCTGCCTCATGCCCATTGCCCCTGCCTGCTGCCCCCTGTCCCCTGCTGGCTCTTCTCCCAACCCCATGATGCTCCTTCTTGAAGCCTTTTGTGCGCTCTTGATGTAGCCCAGGGGAGGAAGGAGCATCCTAGGGCCCCTCAGACTTGGAGACCAGAGGTCACTGAGGCTAAGAGCAGGGATGAAAGCCACACCCAAGATGGCCAGGGGTGGGGCAAGGGCGGGGTGAGGGGAGCAGAGTGGAGAGAAGCTGTCCCCAGAACCAGGGCAAGCCTGCTGGAGGCAGCTCCTCAGAGCCCCTGAGCTGCACGTGGACCTGAGTGTCTGTCTCAGGCCAGCTGGGGAGGGGTCCTGGCTGGCATGGCCTCCTCCTGAGGGCAGTGTGGGTCCTGGCCTCCAGGCCACTCAGGTGGTCCGCCCTGGCCCAGGCACTGGTCCTTGGGCTTTGCTCACCATGCCTGGGCTGTGGTGGGCCACCCATGGGAGTAGCATGGGCAGGGAAGCTCCTCCTGACCCTCACGCCTGTCCCTCTTCTGTCGGGCAGTGACCTCCTTGGAGCGGAGCCTTCGGTCCCTAGGGACACCGAGTGACACGCAAGAGCTTCGGGACAGCCTGTGAGTGTGTGGTGTGGTATCTCTGGCCTGGGCGCGGTGCACATTGGGGTGCAGGGCAGGAGTGTGGTCCTGTGCACACAGGCTTTGTCCACACAGCTGCTTGCCCACAGCCGCCTGGACACATGTGCGCACACACACACACACACCCCCCCCCACACACACCTGCGGATAAGCCTGGTCAGGGCTGTGAACCTGGGACTGGGCCCTCGGCCTGCAGGTTCCCTCCACAGGGTACAGGTGTGCCTGCCCTGACGCAGAAGCCACGTGCACCTGTGCATGCCCGACAGACATTGTGCATGCGTGTGCTAAGGTTGGGGGGTTCGTGCCTGCTGGCACACGCTCTGCCTTGCCAACATGCTCCAAATGCGTCTTTGCCACATCTGAAGGCTCCCTGTTGGGGCCTGCACATCTGTGGACACAGGAGGCGACACAGATGTGCCATTTGCAGAGCCATGGGCTAAGTTGGAGTGGGGCGTTTGGTCTTACATCTGCCCTTTCAGGGAGCTGAGCCTTGGTGGGGGTCCCACCAGACTTTTTTGAGGGGTGCCCAGCGGCCTGCCCTGGGTTTGGCTGGTCTGGGATGGGCAGAGGCACCTCAGGTGCTGTCTGCTAAGCCTGAGCCTGGGCTGGGCTGGGGTGGGAAAGGAGCATCTGCCCCAGGTGTAGTCAGTGTGGCACTCTGGGGTCCGAGGGGACACCGGCAGTCTATATCTTTGACCCCCAGCTGGCCCCCACTGCATTCGCTGGCCTGTGCCCCACCTCCCTGCAGCCAGTAGGATGGCCATGGCCCCAAGGACCCCAGCCAGCCCGGGTGCACTGCTGGCTTGGGGTTGTCCTCGGGCTCCTGTGTGCAGAACTGGGGGCCACCCATACCAGCCTCGAACCTGAAAGGGCCAGAACTGAGGAGGCTGGGAGGGTCACAGCTCCCACCCTGCTGGAGGGTGCTGGAGTCTCTGCTCCTCCTCCCAGTGGCTCCATTCAGAACACAGCACCCTCCCGCATGGGCTCATGCACCAGCTGCGGAGCACCCTTTGCAGATGTTCAGGGCAATTCTATTTTTAGCCTTTTTTTTTAAAGGAAACATACTGTTTTCTGATGTGACAGTGATATAGGCTCGTGCCAGGGAATTTGGACACACAGGATCCCTGGGGAGCCGTGGTTAGCATGTCAGTGTTCCCTGCCAGCCTCCCCCCACCCACGTACATTCGCAGGGTCACAGTTCAGCGACGGACTCTGGACCTGCTGGTCACACCAGGCTCTGGGGTTCTTGGGTGCAGGAAGCGTGTATCCTCTCGGAGGGCACTGTTGATGCATGGAGCTGGGTGACTCGTGTGTGGGTTGCATCTGGGGCTTTCTTGTCTCTTCAGTGTGTGGAGCAGTTTCCAGTGCAGCTGTTGCACTTAGGTCTTTGTGCCCCTGCATGGCTCCTGGGTTAGGTCACAGGGCCAGGAGGGATGGGCACTTCAAGACCCTGGCCCCCACGTGCATATCCTGGGCTGCCCAGCCTGCTTAGCAGAAGCCCGACACTGTGCACTCTGGGGGCTCCCGGGGTGGAGTAGAAGACTGCCCTGGTCTCAGGACCGGGTGTCCCGGCGCCTCGGCCTTCCCACTGGCTGACCTCAGCGCTCACATCTGGAAACCCTTGCCTTAGTGCTTTTCTGACCCTCCTGTGTGGCCAGATGCAGGCCTAGCCTGCTTATCATGGCTTCCAGAGACTTCTGTGGCCCCTCTGATGCTCCCCTATCATGGACCATTAACGTTTAAAAATAACCCTCGAGACCAACAGGGTTGCCAATTCTGTATTTCCTCCACATTGACGAAGTCACCAGCTAAGGCCATTGAAGGAATATGCCTTCATCTGTGGCAGCCATGGCTTGATTAGGGAAGAGGCTCTGCAGCCCTGCAGCGCAGGCAGGGCCCAGTCTCAGGAGGGTTTTGGTCCTTCTTCCGGAATCACATTCAACTTCAGAAAAGTGTCCCTGATGTCATGCAAGGCCAGCGTGGCCAGGTTGTTTCTGTCACCTGTGTGCGGACCTGCCCAGACCTCCCTGTCACAGACCCACAGGTGGGAGTGCAGTGGCCACATTACGATCCCATGGGTGGGGCTCAGTGGCAGCTTGGCTCACGCCCTGTCGTCTGGGCTCTTTTCCCTTCCATCCTGCGGGCTGTCCTGATCTGGAGATGGCGTGTGGGCCAGCGCACCCTGCTTTGTGGCACAGAGGGCCCGCTTCCCTGGGGTTTGGGGCTTGCCCCCTGGGCCGCGTTCCTTGATCTGCCCGGACATGCAGCGATGCCTCCCTCTCACCTCCCTGTTGTGGGGTGATATAGGGCGGGTGGCCCCGATGTGGGTGCATGAGACGTGGCTGCTGAGGATCTGCTGGCCCACAGCCCCACATGCAGTGATGGGGGTGAGGTCCGGGTGAGCTGGGCTGCTGCTTCCTCTGAGGGGTTCTCTCCTTCCTGGCCCAGGATTTACATGTCAGAATCAGCACCAGAAGGGCTCAAGGAGCCTTGGATGGTGATCACCCAACACCGAGGGCCTGTGCTTGGCAGCTCTTTCAGGGGCTTAGTCCTCACAGCCCCACCTCCTGCGGAGACAGCGTAGGCAGGGCAGGACCGTGAGCCATGTGCCTGGCTCGTCCCATCCTGCATGATGGAAGGCAAGCCCCTGTGGCACACAGGTGGCCAGCAGGGTGTGAAGAGCTGAGCTCCTGGCCTGCCTGACGGAGGGCTCTGTAAGGGTCAGAGAGGGCTCACAGCACCCTCCGTATGTAAGGACAGACACATTTGCCAGCTGGTACCAAACCGCACCCCTCCGTCCTGCTGTGAGAATGTACCCATTCACCAGCTGGTACAGAACCACGCCTCTCAGTCCTGCTTTGAGGTTGTACCCATTCTCCAGCTGGTATAGAACAGTGCCCCTCTGTCCTGCTATGAGGTTGCACCCATTCACCAGCTGGTACAGAACCATGCCCCTCAGTCCCTCTGTGAGGACAGACCTATTCACCAGCTGGTACAGAATCACGTCTCTCTGTCCCACTGTGAGGACAGACCCATTCACCAGCTGGTACAGAATCACGCCTCTCTGTCCCGCTGTGAGGACAGACCCATTCACCAGCTGGTACAGAATCACGCCTCTCTGTCCTGCTGTGAGGACAGACCAATTCACCAGTTGGTACAGAACCATGCCCCTCAGTCCCACTGTGAGGACGGACCCATTCACCAGTTGGCAGAACCATGCCCCTCAGTCCTGCTGTGAGGACAGACCCGTTCTCCAGCTGGTACAGAACCACGCCCCTCTGTCCTGCTGTGAGGATGCACCATTCACCAGCTGGTACAGAACCACACCCCTCTGTCCTGCTGTGAGGATGCACCATTCACCAGCTGGTACAGAACCACGCCCCTCTGTCCTGCTGTGAGGATGCACCATTCACCAGCTGGTACAGAACCACACCCCTCTGTCCTGCTGTGAGGATGCACCATTCACCAGCTGGTACAGAACCACGCCCCTCTGTCCTGCTGTGAGGATGCACCATTCACCAGCTGGCATAGAACCACGCCCCTCTGTCCTGCTGTGAGGATGCACCATTCACCAGCTGGCACAGAACCACGCCCCTCTGTCCTGCTGTGAGGATGCACCATTCACCAGCTGGCACAGAACCACGCCCCTCTGTCCTGCTGTGAGGATGCACCATTCACCAGCTGGCACAGAACCACGCCCCTCTGTCCTGCTGTGAGGACGGACCCGTTCGCCAGCTGATGGGCATTTGGGTGGCTTCATCTTGACCACGATGAATAAAGCTGCGGTGAAAGTTTGTGTGTAGGTGTTTGCGTGGGCGTAGGTTTTCACCTATCTTGGGTGTATCCCCAGGAGTGGACTTGCTGGGTTATATGGTGGCTCTTTAACCTTTTGAGGAACTGCCAGACTTTTCCAAAGTGGCTGCCCCATTTGACGCCCCCGCCAGTAGTGTTGGAAGGTTCCAGTTTCCCTGCCTTGCTGCCAGCACTTGTTGTTACCCGTCTTTTGGATGCTGGCCATCCTGGTGGGTGCAAAGTGGGGTCTTGTGGTAATATGATTGGCATTTTCCTAGTACTTGATGGCGTCAAGCATCTTTTCATTTGCCTGTTGGCTGTCTGTCTATCTTCTTGGAAGGAATGTCTGTTCAGATCTTTTTCCCATGTCCTAATCAGGTATTTTCCTTTTTCCTGTTGAGTTGATTCCTTCTAGAAGTTTCCTCCTGCTGTGCAGTCATGCTCTCCTGGGCCCTTGCCTTCGCTGGTGCTGGTTCCTCATCCTTTTGGCTCCAGCCTCTTTACCTCTTTGATCTCCTCCCCTTCCCTTGGTGGTACTGCATGTCCCAGAGCTTGGAATCCCTCCTCAGTAGGGCCCCAGAACCCCAGGTGTCCCTCTCGCCCTGCTGCCTTCTCGCTCACTGACTTAGGGTCTTTCTGGACTGACGTGGGGTCTCCCTGTCAGTCCTAGACCAAGAAAGAGATTGGGCTGCCCCAGCCCAACTTCTGCCCACTCCAGCTCACCAGCTCCGGCCTGCAGGTGTTTTTGTGACTGAGGGCCTGCGTCCTTGTCTGTAAAACATAGGTGGTCATGAGAATCAGTGAGCAGGTGTGATATACACAGGACATGAGGTGCCTCTAAACAACATCTTAAATAATGACAGGCAAACAAGAGAGCCTCCGTGCTCCGGTCGGTTCAGGGACAGCAGACTCGGGCGTGACGGGAAATGGGCCTCAGGTGACACCCCTGCTAGGCAGGCATCACAGATGCCTCAGTCACCTGACTGCTGGCAGCGATGGTACCACCTGGCTGGCAGCTATGCAGGCCTTGCACTGGAGTGCTGGGAGAGGGGTGCTTGGGTCAGGTTACCCAGACCCTGTAGCCACCTACCTCGCCTTTCAGCAAAACCATGCAGAGCTGGCTTTGTGGGGATGTGTGGGCTTTGTAAAGTTGTCATGGGGATGCGTGGACTTCGTAAAGTGGTCGT